ACACACACACACACACACACACACACACACACACACACACACACACAAATCTATCCATCCCTCCCTCCATCCACCCATCCATCCATCCATTTATTAAAATATGAGATGAGATTTTCTTGCATGGCTGTTGCATCACTTCTCTTGTTCATGTTTTTTGATACTTCACTACAGAAGTATACCTGCTTTTGTGTGTTTCCCGCTTGTGTGATTGTCCGCCTGACCCTGATTGTTTTCGCCTGTCCCTCATCAGCCCTGCTGTCACCTCTTCCTCCTTATCATCCTCCGTTCATTGTGGGTATCGTCTTTGTGCTTCCCATTGTCTGCTCCAGTTCGTCGTAGCACTTCACAGCGTTCAAGCCTTTCCCTCGTGTATTCAAAATGTGTGTTTGACCTTGCTTTTTTGACTCTGCCTCTGACTTATTTTGAACTGGATTCCTGTGTACCGTACCTTTGCTTCAGTAAAAAAAACTTTCAAATCGACCATGCCGAGGGAGCGTGAAGTAGTGAGAATGAATGTCAACTAATTATAGCTCCGGGGCATTACAGTAAATTCCCTGTGGGCTGATTATTCCTATTGTCAATTCCATATTGTCTTAACAATAGCAAAAATGGTTTAAAATAACTACAAGTATACGTTTTGACCTCCACAGTGACCTTCAGTCTCTAGTTATCCATTCATCCATCTCATCCACCGCTTATGCTCAGGGTCCCTGATTATAGTATTATTAGTAGTATAGTAAAATCTATTTTCTCTATTTTGTGTTATAAACATTTTGTTGTTAATCATTATGATTTATTTTATTTTATTGATATTTTGATCCTTTATAATCCTTTTTTTAAAATTAAGATTAGTGATTGATTGATTGAACTTATGATAAATGTCTCTTTCCATTTTTTAATTGTTGGTGAACGTTTTTCCAATAATCTTCATCTGACCAACTAAATTGGCTGCAACCTCATATCGCTGTGCTGTGTCTGTATTTAAGTACAGTTACAGAGAAACCTTTTTGCTTAAAAAGGAAAGGACATCTTCACAGATTTACATGCTTTACATTTGTCATGTGGAGGACTCTTACCGATAATGTAAAGCCTTTTCCTGCGGGGGCAGAGCCTCTGTTGACCTTGTTACACTTAAACGGCATTTCAACCTTTTGAAAAATGGACCGTGAAAACTAATTTTTTTGTTCAGTAGATAAATACTAATAGTATATATCAGTGGCGGCTGGTGGAAAATGTTCTAGGTGGGGCCAACCAATCAATTTGAGCAAATATCCCAGTATGATTTAATGCAAAAAATTAAAGTATCATACACACATTACTACTTTGAAGTTAAATATTTAACATTTATTCCAACACGAAAAAAAGCAGTAAATAACACTTTGATAAACACGTCAGGACATCTTATTTTGGTCACCCTCACAGGGAATTCAGTATAATATATATATACAGTATATATATATATATATATATATATATATATAGATATATACAGTATATATCTATATATATAAAATAATAATATAATAGAACATGTTTATTTATTGAGATGCCCCTATGGACCTTGTTGTAGGAGGTAAAGATCAGGAGAAGTAAACATGAAGTGTAATTATGAATACTGATGTTAAATTAAGCTATGATGAGTTTTCACTGTTAATTTACCATCTCAATTACATGTTGATGCCTCCATGACCAAGTTAAGCAGATGAGACTGAGGACAACTATGTAGAAGAACAGATGTTCACTTTGTCTAATATGTAGCTTGACAGAGTTCTCCATGTGTGTCCTGGTGTTCTCATGTTTCCTCACTTCCTCATCCCTCACTCCCTAACTGTCCGTGCTGGATCTGTCCCCGTTGTTTTAAAAAGCTAAATAAGTTATGAGCATGACGTCATCCAGCTAGCCAAACCTGTCTGGTGTACAGCTATAGAGAAGCTTCGTATGTACTGCTTCCCTTTCCTGCTCGTCTGCTGTCTGATTGTGAGGTCAGGCTGATCTGGGATCAGCTCTTTGGCCTGCAGAATCTCCGCCAAAGTTCTCCTCTCAAACGAGACTTGGAGGAGTAGTGCTCGCGCTCGCGCTCACCTGTAGATACTTCTCCTGACGACAACGCGCAGCGAGCTGATTGGCTAAATTGTATGTCACTCATTTATATTTTTAATCAGCAATTGGCTAAACTGCTTCATAGACCCGCCTCCTGTGGGCCATTTCTCGATGGCCCCAGCGCTGAGGACGTGCACACAGGCGGAGAGGACGTGCAGGAAAAGCATATATTTTGCGCAGATATCATAATTTACAAATATTACTGGGTACATTCCACATTTCAAAAACACAAATATTGACAATTTGTAAAATGTATTATTATTATAATATATATTTTTTGAAATATATATTTTTTGTGGCTCAAGGAGGGGCGCTCAAGGTGGGGCCACGCCCCATGGCCCTCTATTGGCCAGCCGCCATATATGTATATTTATATGTATGTAAATACATATATATGTATTTGTATATATATATATATATGTGTGTGTGTGTATATATATACATGTATGTGTGTATATATATATGTATGTATATATATACAGTATAAATATGTTTGTTTGAGAGAGAGAGAGAGAGAGAGAGAGAGAGAGAGAGAGAGAGAGAGAGAGAGAGAGAGAGAGAGAGCGCGCGCAACAGTTTTCTTCAGATTCAAAATTACCACCTCCTGCTTGTCCAATTCCCAAGGAGCACAGAGCGGATGGAGGAGCAGCACCTCCAGGCTGCAGGGGTCTTCTTCTTCTTCACCACTTTAATCTACGGATAAGAAGTGCTTTTTTCTTCTTCTCAGTCATCTCCTGCTGCAGCATGAGCGCTGAGTGCAGCAGTTACTACAGCACTGACGGTGTGTTTGTGGACGGGTTCTCGTGCCCCAGACCGGGCAATGCTGTTGCCGCTCTCTTCTGCTGCGGATTTAATGATGTCAAGTATTGCTGTGACGATCCCAACAGTTTTTTCCCCTATGAGTACGGATACATGTGGTGGCTGAGGTGAGGGCAATTTTAATTTGGCAAAAAAGTATTCCCCCCCCGCCCCCATCTTATTGTTAGTCATTGTTTTCTACTGTTTTAGTTATTTTGACACGTTGGAATTCCTAAATAACCTAAAGATGTTGTTGGATATGCAGTCACATTCTGTCATGATCAACAGATGAACTATTCACTGTGGGTGTTGTTAACTAGTTAACTATCCAGAAATGTGGGCAGCAGCACCACTCTCTTATACATTCTCTTGTGATCATGTTAATAAAGGTACAGTTGCTCCATACATATTTGATTAAAGTAATTTGTGGATAAAAATGCCAATAAAAAAAACTTTAAAATTATGATTACAGTTGTCTATTTTATTTTTTTCGTTAATGCTTTGTCCATATACTGAGTTATTCATATTTGCATATTTGATCTTCCTTCTTTTGGTATTCCCTTTTCCATCCACATCACCCTGTCCTCTCCTCCTTTCTCCTTATCTCCTCTCCTCTCTTATTTTCCTTCCTCTTCGCTCTCTCCTCCTCTCCTCTTCTCCCCTCTCCTTGTCTCCTCTCCTCTCAAATTTTCCTCTCTTCTCCTGTCCCCTCCTCCTTCTCTTCTCTTCTATCCTCCTCCTCGCTCCTCTTCTCTTCTCTCCTCCCTCCTTGTCTCCTCTCCTCTCAGTATCGGCGCTCTGGTTGGTCTGTCCATTGCAGCAGTAGTCCTTCTTGCCTTCCTCATCACCGTATGTGTCCTCTGCTACCTCTTTATTGCCACCAAACCCAGCCGTCTTGACAACGGCCTACCCCTCAGAGCACCAGGTTAGTGTGTGTTCAGGATCTCCTAAAATTCCTTCCAATTCAGTTCAATATGCATTATTGGCAAGAATGTAACATGGAAAATATTACCAATGGACCAAGTAATGATGGGATTATAAAGACTCTTACTGGAAAAGGAATTTTCATTCAAATGTGCTCTTTCTGAAATCCTTTTAATTCAGAGAAAATCGCTACAATTATCAGGTTTTAAATGACCCATTGTTGTTTTGTGTCTGGTGAGTGCACAGAACAGACGCTGTGTAACTTAGAACTTAGTGAAATCATCTTTGTTCTTTTCAGCAGTAGATCCCAGTGAGGTTTCCACGCCCGTGAGAGCGACCTGTGTCTCCGGTCCGCAGGGATTCAGAAAACACTTCATGAGCAGGAAGTTGGACTGTGATAACCAGCCGCCAGACCCCGAGATCCTGTTCCAGAGGTGTTTCACAGCCACCGCCATCGGCACGAAAGGGGAAGAGCCTTCATAGACCTCTTGTTAAAAATGTGGCCATCAGACCTGAGATCAAGACATTCAGTGAATCTGGAGGCGGACTGTGTTGACAGGGGAGGGCTGGGACACTGGGAGGAATCGTAGCTGAAACAATATGGTATGCATGGGAGTCATTGGGGTTGAGTATTAAATCTGAGTGCTTGAAATCAAACTAAAATGTGCACAACGAAGCCATGCTTGAATTTTTTCCCACACTAAATTCTCTCCTCCTCATGGCTGCATAATTTCGACACTCAGCACTGTGCAGCAGTAATCAAGAGGATGGTACTTAATTATCTACCATCTTGGAAGACAATAGACATGTTAGTGCAACTGCGGGCGTAGTGTTTTGTTCCAGTTTACACTCAGGATTTACAGTTTCATGTGTATCTATAACGATGCCGAAGATGAGACTGAAAACAGGAAAAAGAGCCTGACACACCAAGACAACGACAGTCTTGACATCCAGGCCGCAGAGTCAGGGTGCACCCTTGTAAAGTACTGTGCTGTAGACCGGCCGTCACATCTGCTACATTTTACTCAGGGACTAAAGAGATCCACAGTGCGGTGAGACCAAGAACATAACAATGCTGGTTATTTATTCAAAACCTTAAAATGAAACATTTTTACATTTTTCGGATAGGAGATTGGGGTCAACATGTGTCTCCTATGTCAGAGCTGTAGTTTCTTTCAACCATGGTCAATTTCATTTGGAGACACACAAAAGATCTTTCTATTTTTGGCATTTTCTTTTTAAATTGACAGCTGCCGTTGAAGAGGCAGACAGGAAACTAGCAGAGAGACGAACGTCCCCTGCTGGAATCCATGTTGTGCCTTAATCTTTCATTTATCAGGACACCATGAATCAAAGCGAATAGGTTTACACTGAGATTCTCTTTAATGGTGCTCTCAGGATGATCTGAGTCGCAACAAGGAGTTTAGTCGAGATAATGATAAACACATAGATGAAAAATAAACATTAGTTTAATCAACAATACCAACATTACAGCACATAATCAGGAGGCTGGGGCGGTGAGCTGTGGACGCAGCTGGCACGAGCGTAATCAAGTATCAGCGTAATCAACAGTCACATTATAATGGACCAATGAGAAAATCAAATATCACAGTATTTTTGACTAAATACCTCAATATTGAAAGTTGACTATTTGGTGCTTTCACAAAGAATTAACACAAAGAGATTTTTAATATATAATCATAATCAAGTAATGTGGATATAATGACTAATTGGGTAAAGGCAAATAATAGAAGAGCTAGTCTGATAAGGTCCGGAAATGACATAATTCTACTGTAATGCAGCCTTGAAAACCAGGAAAATACATCACTTATTCTATATAACAATATCCAAAATCTTAGACGACATCTTGTTTCACATCACGATATCGATACATCGATATATGGTCCAGCTTTAGCCGATAGCAACAGGTGTGACGTGTGAATTAGCCAGTGATCGTTAAGCAACAATCAATCACCTCATACCAATTAGCGAATACGGTCGTTGCAGGGTTGTCTGGCAAAAACAATTAAACCTGGCTCAGCTTTTCCCATGGTGATGAAAGATATATGTATTTGACACTTTGATCTGAGGTTATTCTGTGTTCATTTGCATATGAAGATGAAAGTTATTTTCAGGACAAAGACAAAGCTTTCTGACCAATGTGTCACCGAACATTTTTCAGTCTCTTTTATTCAATGATTCCAAACTAACCAACTTAAACGATACTTTCATAATTTTTCAAGCTTGTCTTCATGTTTAGTTTTGGTTTACTGCAGATTTGGAAGTATGAAACTGCCCTTAATTACATTCATGAGGAAATAACGGTAGACTAACTTCTCTATCCAAACACATCTCGTGGTAAATGGCAGTATTATACTGAACAACTTGCAGTGTCATCAAATGTTACACCATCATCTTAGCTTTTGTCTAAGGAGCTCTTGTTGCTTTACAGTGTTACTTGGCATACATACAGATCACAAAGCTGCATTTCTGTGGATCCACTATTCTATGTATCTACTGGATAGTCAATTCCTTCTCAAAACTTTCAAGTGCCCTTGTTTTTGTAACTGGTAGCTTAAGCGTTTATCAATCCATGCAAAGAGTCATGTCTTGTATCGGTGAATACATTTTGCTTGTGTAATTGTTGTGGAAAAACGTTAACTGTCGTCAGTTTTGAATGTCAAACACGTTTTCTTTGTCCAACAGTCAAAATATCGACTGCTGGCATGTTAGTCAAAAGTGCGGAGGAATTAAGTTTCTGTAAATGTCGGCACAAAGCTGTGCTCAGTAATCGACTGGAGCTTGCACACATATACAGTTCAATGAATGTAGGAGAAAAAAAACCCTCCTGGTTTCAGATTATTTTCATAACAGTGTTTTTTTTTTAACGCATTCCATGAATGTACACCGTGGTTTATTGATACAGTGCTTGAAAGAGCATCAATAAAATCTGAATCAAATGAAGCTTCCTGATTATTATGCAGCGATGCGGTGCAGTCATGTGGTGGAAAACCACCAAACAAGTTACAGCTCATACTATTTACAATGTGAAGGGATTTTGATGCACCTAGACTCTGATCTATGTTATCGACATATGAACTGCTAATGGTTATTGAAGTAAACTATGTGAATACTGGCACTATTCTGCGAAGGATTCATCCTTTTTTAAATTATTTGTGGAGCTTAAGGTTTCTTCACTGCCAAGCTGGTGTTGGTTGTGTTTGTATTAAAAACATCTAGCTGAGCACCTCTGATAATGAAGGCTTTTTTTCTGTCTCTCTTTCCCTCCACTTTAAATACACTATGTTAGTTGTATAGTTAAAAAGGAAGAGATTAGACGAGTCAGTGTGACTGAACATCAGATTTGGTTCTGGATTTTGGTTCTTGATCTTTCTCTGCAGAAAGGCAGAGACTTGCAAAGCCAGCAGGAGCCTTTCTGAAAATGCAAAGTAGTAAGCAGATTGGTATAAAGGATGACAGTGACAACAAAACAGCTTTGATCACTGTATAATCTTGCTGGCCTTATTTTCTTGGGTGAGATAAGGGGATATATCATGAAAAACTCATTTTTTTCAGTCCTTATGAATATACATATGGGTATCTGTAGTGCCTGAAAACCCACAAACTGTGCAATAAGAAAACCCAGTCAGTTTTTATGTGGGTGGCCCAGATCAGAAGACATGTGATTCAACAAGACATTCAGATTCAGCTCATCTTCCTACGGAGAGGCGAAGTCCCGCCCCCTTTGGTCAACCACAATGGGACCTTATTTCAGAAGAAAAATGTGCGGTAGTCTTCGGCTAGAGTCAAATAATTTAGTTTGACTTGTGCCATGAATTACACAATGATGTTTGTCAACAGTGCTTGAAGTGGGCCGACACTCACCAGTACCCAGGGTTCTGTAATTTATCGATACAATGTTCACGACTTGTGAAGAAATTGCCTGTGATGAAACATTATTTAAAAGTTTTCTGAATCTGATCTTTTGATTTGCAGAATATCATTTTACAGGGCAAAGATATCCAGAAGAATGTAATGTTCAAATGAAGGCTGTGATACGTGTAGTCAAATCATTTTTTAACTATTGCAAGTTTAGTCTGGTAGCCTTTTGGGCATTATCTAAGCCCTATATACTAATAATAATGATCCAAAATTAAAATTGACATTGTTTTAAGTCAAAAAAACTCAAGAGAGGGGGGCTTGAAGAGACAGGTGCTGAAATTGAGCTCTTCAGACAGAGGGTGAATACAGGTATATTCAAACAGATAGGATGAGGAAAATAAGATGTCTTTTGATCATTAAAGCATGTAAACAGGTTCTAGTAGAAACCCCAAAAATACAAGTATGAACCTGAAAATGAGCATGATATGTCCTTGTTAATATATACTCATAACATGATTAATCCAATGTCTCCTCCTTGGCGCCCTAATATGCACATCAAATGCAAGTTGTATTTCTGAAACAGAGACACTTGAACCTCCTTTTGCATCGATTATGCTTTTAACTACATGGATATGTTCATGTGTTAATAAGCTGTGTTAATGTATTAGAGGGATGATGAGATGTGTCTTGAAAATTGCAATAAAGTGCAATATTCACATTAATATGCATTAAACTCTTTACAGATGTCTGTCGTTAGGCCAGTTCAAAACTCCAAACTGTCCATTACTACACTGATTAAATTAGATTATTCACTTCAAGACTGAAAGCTAAGGGTAAAGATCACAGATTAAATATAGACATGCACAGAGAAGGTAGGTCATCATAAAAACACAGCACAGTGGCAGATTACACAGAATGGATTTTGCCAGTTACTGATCAATGAACATTTTTATTCTTGACCCCACTGCTTTGTCCAGCCTAATTTCAAGGTATTTCTACCTGTTTCAACAAGATCTTTTAAATAAGACTGCAATAAGATCTTTATAAAAGGATGTGTATTTGTTCTAAGAAAAACAACTGATACTGGATAGAATGACTTAAACTTTAAATCTCATTCTGAAGGTAAAGTATGTAACTACGAAGTGACCACAAATCAATTTCCCTTTCTTTTTAGAAGGAACGGATTAAATGTGATGGGGGGCTGAACGGAGTATGAATGCATAATAAACAATTTAACAAGCTGGGGACTAAGGGACCATAAACGAATTAGTAAAGCAAAGGGGAGGTCTTGAAAAGGGGGGAGGGTCGTGTTGCTTTTCTTTTTGCAGAGGGGAGGGTAGTCCGACCTTTTGGGAAGGGCAGAGGAGGGTTTGCAGCCAGCTGACTTCTTTTTAACTCTGGGGACAGACAGGAGCGGAGAGTCTCATCAGAGGCCGTGTGATCTGACATGTATGGGAATCAATGAAGGGAAGTTACATTTTGTGTAATATGGTGAAAGATTTAGTTGTATTTATAATTCTGGTTGCAGCGTTCTGAACCACTTGAAGAGTTTTAGTAATTGCCTGGGGCAAGCCGGACAACAAAAGGTTACCATAGTAAAGTCTGAAAAAAGGGCATGGAGAGAAAATACAGAATTGTTGCTACAAAATGTGTAAAACAGCTACAGTTTTTGAAAAAATGTAAAAAGAATAAAAGCTGGTATTTTTCTTAGTTCCGAAAGCTCACGTCTCTACTTCACTGTGCAATGTTGTTTCCTGGTGATCTTAAAAAAAAACAAAAGCTTTATTTCAATGGTCATATACATACATGTACATGCATAGAAGCTGACCTGTGCATTCAACCCAGAGGGAGAGGGCTGCTGTAAAGCACCCGGAGAGCAGCCTTGGGCTCAGTGACTCACTTAAGGACACCTCCGCCCACTGATCCTCTGTGAAGCATTGCTGTATTCGTGGCAAAGAAAAAAACGCAGCATTTATAGTGAGGTGCAGACAGAGAGAGTAAAGTGTCGTAATTCTTACAATTCAAGCTCTTATGAACACACTTTATTTCCTTCTCTCAGCATCACTGATTTAGTGAGAAGTGGTTCAAGAACGAACAAAAAAAGATCTTCATGTGAAGCAATGTAAAATCCGGGTTTTTATCTCAGTGATTTTCCTTAACTGCCCAAAACAAATGGTAAATTGATGCAGATGCCCTCTGTGCACATACAGCATGTAGACTACGAGTGCTCTTGTTTCATGTGTCGTATGTGATTATAGTGACACTATCTGGCCTCAGAGCACAGATGCAACAATGATGACAATTTAGGCAAAGGCTTTTTTTTGACCGCGTCGCTATTTTGAAAGAGTAAATTGTAGAAATATCAAGCGCCTTATGGTTTCACTCACAATTTTTGCATTCACTCCTCAGAAAAAAGCAATAGGGAGGAGAAATGGAGGAAAACCTAATAAAGTCACTCATTAACATCTCTGTGTTAAGGGCTTGTTACAGGAAGGGTGGTATTATGGTATGTCCTGCAACCTTTGCTCAGCAAGTCTCTTTATATTGTCAGTAGAGGAAGACAAAAACAGCAGTTAAAAGTCAGGTCGAGGTGACGCAGTACTCCTGCTCTGTCAGTTGTCATATTTTGATACAGGTAAGTCTTTTTAGACTTTGTGTGTGTGTATGTTGTTGTTAGATTGTGTAGATTGACAGTGTGTGTGCTACTGTGCTGTAGGTGAGACATTATTGGGTCTGTTTTTGGTCATACGACTAATGATTGACTGAGGCACAGCTACCGTGTGCTGACATGCATCACCAGATACATTTTTTATTTTACCAGTGTACTGCTGCCTCAAATTAAATACATTCAGCCAAACTACGTAGCATGGATGTGCTGTATTTCTGCTCTCTGGAATTGGGATTGTCCTCTGTACAACATAGGTCTATTGATGCTATGTCTAAAGTTAATTAGTAAGCAGTTCAGGACTATAATCATGGACATTGCTCCATACCTGAAAATCCGCTCCCTAAAACCATGTGACAGTTTCTGTGTGAAAGGGGAATATACTGAAACACAAAGATGAATGTTTTTGTTCATGCTAATCTGTTTTATTTACTGGTTGAAGGCACCTGCTCATGGATTATGGATTCATCAGCTTTTTTTAAACTCTTTTACTCTGATATTTCAGGGTTATGATGACCCAAAACAAAGGGTTGCGATCATTGATGATGATGTCAACAATGTTTGTGTATCATTATGTAGATCTGGGGGTTCAAACCACGGCCAACTGGCCAACAGCGGCCTGCTCCCCAATTTTATAAAATAAACTAGAATTTTTCTCCGTCTTAAGCTCTTGGCACAGAAACCAACTGTGTTTGTTACATCTTAATATTAAACGTATAGATTTACATCTTACATTCACATTTGCATCGTAATCTTTTAAGTGGGTGCTTAGGCCACTTAGTATTTGGTCATTTCTGCTTGTTTTAACTTTACTTATTTACAGATTTACACAAAACATCATAATATAATCAAATTTAGAAACAGCAGATACAAAAATAGCACACAAATAAACTACTGTCATGTTAAACGTTGAACTGTTTAGTAGTTTTGGGTAGTTCATTTGATAGAAAATTAATCTTTAATTAATAATTAACTCATTTGGTTGGTCATTCTGGTCTAAAAACACAGATTTTCTTGCAGTGTTGTTTAGTGTGTGACTCCTTATATTGTTTTGTATATGGCCCACAATCAAAAAGTTCTGAACACCCCTGATGTAGAAGGTAACTAAAGTCTAATCAAATCTTCAAAATCAAATGTGTTCAACAGTGTAAATTGAATCAAATCGTATGAAAGGAAATATAAAACAGAAAAGATTGTATCTAACAATGTAGATCTCCAAAATGTCCAATCAAATCAGAACGTGCTTTGAGCATTCAGATTATCTTACCCTCTAATAGTCCAGCGTCAGTTTTAAATGTATTGATAGTCGCATGACACATGGTTAAAACTTTATTGGCCATGAAATATAAAACTTCAGGTGTCAGGATGTCTCATCAGCCAAACATTACCAATACACTAATTCAAAGTCCGTCTTCAAACAATACTGACAATACCTTTATGTACATTGAAAGAGTTATTGGTTGCTCTGATTGTTACTTCTCTCCACAATGACTGCCAAAAAGATCCCTTCCTTATGCAATACAAGTGATGGGGGATGAAATCACCTCTTTATTCTGCGTAAAGATGCTTTCTTGAGTTCAAACCAAGTGAGTATCAATTACGGCCTTTTTAGCGCATATCTTCCTCTTTGCGTTTCCCTGCATAGTGTTTTCTTTGGGGTGGCATCACAAAAGGGGCTTTTCTTGTAGGCCGCCCCACCTTTAAATGGTAAATGGTACCATGTCATGATCCTCAGTAGATGTAACCACTTCATGATTTGATTTCACCTCAGGACGCAGAGATGGGCCCGTGGAGCTGCATCCTCTTTGCGGTGTTTTTTCTTTGTGGAGCTTTTATCAGAGAAGCACATCAGGCTACTATATCAGATGTTGGGGGACACAAAGGCGCTCAGAGGCATCTTCTGATGGAATTAGATCACCCCAACAGAAACGTTTCTGGAATTCAAAGTAAGTTACAAACTTTACCATCATCTATAACTATTTACAACCAGGTGTGTTAGAGGAACTTTGAACTCTATAACACCATATTTACAGGAAGCATGTGTGAATGCACTGGTGTTGACCTCGCTGTCTTTATAGCTACATATAGATGCTATAAAGTCTATTTTTACTGCTGCGTACCCAGGGGCAGCCGATACAGAGGAGAGCACGAAGTCGCTGGAGTGGTCCTATCTGGTTGCAGGACTGGGCACAGTCCTCACCATCTCACTCCTCATCGTGATGACTGTCAAGTTTCGTCTCTTCCATCGCTTCTTGGCCAGCTACAGACACTCCCTGCTCCAGGAGGCCGACGGGGTCAGCCAGTATGGCCAGGACGAGCCGCCCTTCCCTAACAATGCGTTGGGTAGAATTGGAGTGGTTGGAGGCACTTCAAGAGGGCTGGATGACGATGACGATGGCTTCATCGAGGATAACTACATCCAGGCCAGTGAGAAAGAAAGGGCAGAGAGAGAGATAGAGGAAGAGGATGAGGAGGAAGACAGCGACGATGATCTTCAGTTCACTATAGGGTGACTGTCTACTTCTTGAAATGAATCACTGTCTTACATGCAACCTCTTACACCTTCTATTTGAACATCTATGAACTATGAAGAGTAAGTTCCCCTAAAAACAAGTTCCATATTGTTTCATTTAGAAGAAAAGAAGAAAAAAGAAGAGTAAGAGAGAGAGAGAGAGAGAGAGAGAGAGAGAGAGAGAGATGGAACACATTTGTGAATCATAACTTTTCTTTTTCCTGTCCCTATTAATCATTTTGTGGCCTCTAACATTATGTCGAGTCATGAAGGGGTCCTGACCCACAGTTTGGGAACCGCTGAAAGTGCTGTGTAGATATGATGAACGTGAAAACTGAATGAGCCTCAGCTGCTTGAAAATGAAGTTGCGATTATGATTGGACTTGTGTCCAAAATGAGCACATTTAAATAGTATGGTACACAAAACTTCAAAAGCCTTGAATCAGATTGTTATTTCATGCACAGACAACATGTTAGGATACGCAGCGCTACCTGATTAAAGGCTTGTTAACTGTTTGCCAGAAGAGTGTCTTTCCTCTTTTTGAACAGTGATGATTTGATTTGATTTGAACACTTACTGAGTCTTTTTTTTTTCAATCATAATTGTATCACAATGGTGTATTTAGACAGTAAAAGACATGCATAAGATGTGTGCATCAATGAATGATTGAGTCATTGTTGAAAATATGCGGTGCAGCAATCTGTCTTTCATTTACAAACTATTTTGAAGTACTCATTGCTGATGTTTAACAGTAGTCATTTTTATGCAAATGGAAACAAAAAAAATGTCCACACAGCTGAGGAGCCGAAGACTAAGGCTACTTATGCTCTCCTGAATTCATCTCTTTGTTTGAAATGTTTTACAGCTGCTAGACACATTTAATAAAAACCTTTCATTTCACAGGCTCTTTGATCCTTTTCCTCTGAGTGATTTTGCTCATTTAGTCCATTCAGATCAGGTTGGTCCTGCTGGAGGATGTCTCTCTCCTGGCCTGACTCATCTGTCCTCCTGAGACACTGAATACCCTGACAGTTTGACCGCCCAGCCTCCTCGCTCTGCTCATTCTCAGCATCATCCTCCTCCTCTGCTCCCTTCTTCTTCTGAGGTAGATGATCACGCCGTAGCCCACTACAGCTAGAGACATGCCTGTCCCAGCAGCCATCAGCACCAGGCTGGACACCAACATCTGCTTGCCGTCATGACGTTGGCTGCCGATTGTGGCCACACAGAGAAGCACCGTCCCACAGAGCATCACTGCCAGCCCCACGGCTAACATCAGGGCCGGGTCAGCCCTGCCGCCGCTCTTCAGCTGGTCGATCCTACGCCAGCTGCGCACACAGTTCATGTCCTGGATGGCAGAGCTGAGAAGCTGCTTGAGCAGAACAGCCAGGGCTAAGAGGCAGAGGGTAGTGCCCACTCCGAGGCGCCACTCCCCGGACAGGCTGCTGGTGGTGGAGAGGAGGCCCACGCCTCCGAGGCCAAGCCCCAGTATGAGGGCCACAGAGGCACAGTAGCACAACAGGGAGTGGCGTGGCTCTCTGAACCACCACAGCTCCACTTGATCTTCCAGGACACGTCGCTGCATCAGAGTGGGGTCCAGGTAGAGACCTGGGGGGTGAAGGATGGTGTGGCGGGGCTGGTAAAAGGTCTGCATGTCAGGCATGGCAGTGGTCACAGCTCAGCCAGCCCAAAACCAGACTGACACCTTGCAAGAATGTGCAGAAAAAGATGATTTTCTATTCACCACAACTATATAACTGTATTATCTCAGCTTCTGTGAAAACTCACTTGTTGTTGTTGTATGAGTGTCAAATGTTGCTGTCCATCCTTCTGCATCCCATCACACAATTTCAGTCAAAGAATCACGATAGTTGGTTTCAAAGATCCGACAGTTGTTTGATTCTGTTGCTTCATTCTCTAGAAGAGATGATGTTTCACGTATATCCGGCTTCAAGGAAGGTTTTCCAATGGTGGAGCAGTAAACTTAATTTGCTCAAGCTGTTGTCGGGTATGAAACTCTTCTCAGTGTAGATGGTAGAATTATCTTGACTTCACACTGGAGGCAGAAAAACAGTTAAGACCCCAGCCACAGAGAAGCAGGGATTTCCACTGTAATACTCACTGTAAGTAGAGAAGTGATGATGTTGTTGACATCCCGGCTGGGTGTTGTGTAAGTAGCCTGTCCAAGTGTCTACTCATGATCGTCACTGTGACTGTAATAGCGTCACAAATTTGCTAATCTGTGCCACTTCACATTCTCTCCCCCAGTGCCAGGCAGAACAGAGGACCCCCCACCCACCCACCCTCTCATCACACGGGAATACCATCTTGTCTGGTTAAGTGGGAAAAAGACAGGTCACAATAGAAGTGTTGGATCATGGTTCGGACAGAGATTGGCGACATTGTCCACCAATCCCCCACACAGACAATGGGCTGACCGGCGTACACAATGACGGTGCTGCAGGAGACGGGCGGGGGTGTGTGTGAGCTGTGGATAGGGTGTTGCATTGCTGTTGTGGAGGGCTGAGTGATGTCAGTGAGTAGTGATAATGGGGTTTCTGTGATCCTAACGATAGCGTCATTCACACACTATGTTGAGCCCCTTAGCTAGGCCACAGTGAATGCTGCCTGTCCTCAATGAGACGCTCACTGACAAAGGCCTGCTGATCTGTGTCTTCCAGTAGGCTAATGTTGCTGTCCCTAAGGGATCTTCCTGTTTTTTTTACCCGTTAATACATTTTTTTTGGGAGGGCGGGCTTTTCCTGTTCCGATGTGAGAGGTCCTGGAAATAGCTGACATACATTTTAATCAGTAAGCTTTAGAGGTGTTGGTAGGCAGATTTTTTTTTTTACCATAGCCAGGAAGGTTAATAGTTGTTTGCTGCTTTATTAATGCTCTGAATTTGTAAAAACCAAACATGACTTTACCTGCTTTCTTTAGTCACATTTCCTCCCCTGAACCATGAAAAGCTAATAGGCTACAGCTTCTTGGATTTGGATTATAACTCATCAATTTTCTTGGATAAGCACTGTTCAATAGGCCTTTCTTACAGTGGAAATTTGACTTTTCAAACACAGATGCCGCTAATATGATTACAGTAATAAGGGCAGCATTCTGTTTTGTTGTTCTAGTGCCAGGGTCTTGTTATCATAAATACTGGCTTGCTAAATGGACTAAATGGAATGGACCATTGTTAATGTTCTAGTACACCTAAACTTTTGTGTAAGAAAGTAAGAAAGCTGTGATTGACAGCTGTTTGAAAGCAGGAGGCTTGATGCAGAGGTTTGGTGCAGACCAACCAGGTGTTAAGTTCACTAACAATGAACACTTACAACAATGGCGGTCATACGCTCCACATCACACACGGTGGCCCAATCCCAATCTCCACCCTTACGGACTCACAGAATTTGAGGCGCGCTCCCGCAAAGTCCGTGAGGGTTTAGGGCTGTCCCACTGTCAAATCGTTGAGTGTTTGAGGGCTCTCTGGCAGATATTTTGAGCCCTTTATGAACACTTTCCGTAAGTCAGCATTAGATGCAGACTTTGCCCAAGGGAATTACCCACAAATCATTGCAATGTGACGTTAAACACGGGGTAACCAGTGGACGCATGGAGATGTAAAAAAAAGGTAAACAAAGAGAACGTTCAGCCTATCATATTCAATTTACACAGAAACATTAAGGGTTAAAGATGGAACAAAAAAACAACAACATGAAATCAGAGAATATTTATTCATCAAATATTTGATTTTGTCATCGAAGCTGTTTTGACAGAAATGAGTAAATAGATTTTGTGAGGAAAAAGAGTCTGAAAGACGTTCAAATCAGGGGGTAAATAATACAAAATAAATACCCACAATTGTACATCATATTTTTTGTCGCTTTCATGGTAACGTGATATGTTGCAGCAAAGTGCTGTCCCATTCGTATTTACACCATCTCAAGCCCTCACTGTCTCTCACACTCAACCACTTACCAGGTGACGTCAGTAAATCGTTGAAGGTTGAGGGTTTGAGACTTTAGGGGGACATTGGCATTGGGCCTATGGACAATGGCAAGGCCAATTGAATGACGGCTGCGATGTTGGGAGAGTTACAGCAGATGGCGCTAGAATTAAAGGGATGGTGTCCGCTCAGGTTCAGGCTCAGAATAGACAGAACTTTTGTGGTACACTCGTGCACCAGACTTTACTGCACATGTGTTGTACTCCAATTATCTGACGCACACATCTCCTCTTTTAACTCTCCTTGGGTCACGTGCAGCATGTGGTCCTGACAGCAGCATGCTTTATCCTGCCACATGCAACATAACCATAGTAGAGGGGGATCTGTCCCCGACCTGACATCAAAACTACACAAACCACAACAAATATATTGAAAGCCATTTCCACTGCACTAATGTCAATAATCTGCTTAATCTTAAACTACAGATTCAGATCATACACATTACACTAGAATCATACAAAACCTACACTACAGGTTAAAGCACACTAACACCCCTACACCAATTACTACATGGCATCTCCCAGAACTTAAACAAATGGGCGCTCAGATACTCAGGGAACGCTTTTAGTAACCTGAACACCATGGACAGGACACAGAGGTGAGTGACCTCAAAACAAACATTACACATTATATTACTGCACAAGCATGTGACATTTAACACTACATTCGATCCTCGTCATTTTGGCAAAGGGTACACATATCACAATGAGCACAATGAGGTAACCAAAAATTGCCAAACTGAGTGTGCATATAAGTTCTGCCTGCACCGAAGGAGAAAATAATTGATCATTGTGTATTGACTTTGTGTTGCTTGAGGGTGCCTCCTTGTTACCTTTGTTCGCAAGCAACAACAGAAAAATACATAAAATTGTTTGTGTGGTTAGATGAACAACCAACAGGTTAGAGAAGTTTTATAAGCTGCTGAACAAAGAATGGGAAAACTTGGCCGGTCTCCAGTTAATTACAGCTGAGAGCAGCTACAATATCTACAAGACACCCACAATTAATACAAGTCAAGTTTGTGCCTAATTTCTTTTACAGTATACAAATTGTGCTACAAAGTACTAGCAATGAAGAGGACTTTAATTGCAATGTCCATATGTTTAACTGCACATATTTATGTGATAGTTACATTTCCAATACATTCTCTTTAGTTGAGGCTACTCTTTTAGATTTTGAGATGATCAAATTCAGATTTTGAGATGTAAATGTAACATGCAGTCCCCATGTGTTATATGAGGACGTTGAGGTGTTCACCACATATAAACAAAGACCCTCTCTGGTGCCTGGAGGCGCCTGTCAGCTCAGCTGTGATATAAGAGTATATTACATCCAGTTAACAGCTTACTGAAAGACATTAAACGCCTCACCTGTTCCTGTGACATTATAACCCATGCTTAGTTCTGTACTAAACTGAAACCATGCAAACAGAGTGAACTTATTACTGAACTAATCAAACTCAGTACCATTACTTCAGTGTCATGAATGGTGATGTGATCACTTCATGATATGTGTGCAATTCTTCCTTTGAGCCTTTGAATATCAACCAAATATCAACCAAAGCCAAATGTGACACTATAAACAATTTATCCACATTTTTACTTTGTTTAAATGAGAAAAAGAAAGAAGATAAAGGAATAACATTTATGAACAAATGGTAGAATGGAAAGGTAGAAGGGCGGACGGACGGATGTTGGTTTTACAAAGTGCTGACACTGTTTTCTGCCTGCAGTTGGTCCTTGACAGTCTACATTATCAGAGATTGTTTTGCAATTGCTGCTGTTCTATCTGATTTTTAGTGTTACAATAAATTGTATTATTGGAAAATGGCTTGCACCTCTTTTTCTACAGTATTTCACACAGACGACTTCATTGGAATGACTTTGTGCCGTAAGTCTGGATGAAATGTTTGCATTTCCTGTGTATGAGCCGGATCTTAAACCCTCAAGGACACCATTTCTTACAATGACCATATGAATGAGTGCTGGAATGGGGTTTGTTGGGTGGGTGACCATCAATCCATCCAGCCAATTATTTTGCTTAAGTACCGGTTACTTTTTATAGGAAAGGAAATAAGTGAATCCAATGGAGTTACAGTGACTCCCATCAACCACAAGGTAGCAACAAGTAACCATGTTATTTTGACACTCAAATCAAGACATAAGGAAGGACATATTGGTGTACTATAAAAATGTCTATTATTTGTGATTGTTACAAATCATTGCCTTCACCTTTGCTGCACCATCAGTTGCTAGGCGACTTCATCAGTGAACAGCTGATAAATGTGTATGTTTAGCTGTTAGTCTTGTCGATGCCTGTTGCATTCTGGGAGGGACTCCAGAAGGGCTCACTGGATGTAGAAAATTGAGAAACACATGGAAGACACAGATGTGTGAATAAATGTGTTTGGACACCGACATGTTTTTTTAATTTATTGTCACTGTAAGACAATAAACTGTAAAGTTGACCGTAAGACACATATTTGAGTAAAACAATATTGACTTTATTCATTTAATTGGACCAGGGATCTATAAAATATTTTTTTTGTTCATAAATACAACCATTTATCTAAATATTGCCTCAACAGTACAGTTGTGTAAAACATCTGTATTCCTATAGAAAACGAGTGTTGATCAAAAGATCAACCTGTAGAGGGCAGCAGCATCTAGGTTTAGACTGCAACCTGTACAGTTGTACAGTACATGCAGTGCTTGAAGAAGTACTCAGACCTTTTATTTAATTAAATGATACAGTAAAAAAAAATGCCGTTAACATCTAAATGTGGCCAAGAGTAGTAGTGGCATAATGTATAGTAAAAAACACACATTTTTAGAAATTCAAAATTGCACTTAAGTACAGTAATTGAGTAACTATAATTGCATTCCACCGCTGTGTAGATGGCATAAGACTTCCCACCTTCAGTTTCCTGTATGTTCAGATAGACACTGAAGACTCTCAAAAATCCTCTTTTTTTATCTTAAGCAAATTATTTTATGCATTTCTTGTATTCATGTTTGATACCTACACTGTGAATATATACAAAGCTTAAATACATCTTTCAATATCACTTATTTAAGAAGCTCATCAACAATAAAATTCAATATGTTTTTACACATTTGGTTTTAAACTGGGTGTGTGGAGGAAGGATAAAATTCTGCTTTGCGGCTTAAAAAAGTGATTGTTTGTTCTGGTTAAGATTAAAGAAGAGGGCTGCGTGTTGAGCAGAAACTGCAGCAGTTCGCTCTTTGCTTTCTGACAAATTGGTGTCCAAGAATGTCTCATAGAGAGAGATTTGTGTGA